TTTTGATGATTGACAAACACCATTGATTCTCTTGGACTGCCTGTTACTTCTAACTTTTCAGGAATCGAAGATCGGACGAACAAACGAAGCCATTTCAAGATTGTGTAGGTTAGGGTTGAGTCAATCTGTACTTTGCTTTTTCTCTTCTTGAGTCAATTTGTAATGTTCAAAGAGACTGAAGCTAAGTAACCCTATACACACACTTGAGAGACTTAGAATTTCTATTTTTACTCAAATCGGCCAGGACGATATTTTACATCGTCCTGGACGATCAGGCTTAAAACAGAAAATCTAATCAGTGGTTCTTAATTAAGGCAGCCGTCATTAACCAATCGGCTTGGACGATATGTGTATCATCCAGGACGATAAGCTTAAAACAGAAAGAAATTACTGCAAAAAACAATTAAGGTACTCTGTAATTTTTGGTAATCGGCCAAGACGATCTTGGATTTGCCTGGACGATATTCACAATTATGCCTTAATTAATCAAACAAATCAAGGAAGTAATTAAGGATGATTGATACGATCATATCGTCCTGGACAATCGCAGGATCGGCCAGGACGATCTATTCAAAAACCTTAGTTACTTCTGGATGATAAATATCGGCCAGCACATATTCAGGGTGATGTGCTGGACGATCGGGATCGGACAGCTTGAATTCAAGGCGATACTCTGGAAGATTTTCCTCTGATTTGAACTGATCGGCCTGGACGAGCAAGCCAATTTTTAATCATCCAGTTTGCATTCAGGATGATGCTCTGGACGTTCTTCTAAGATTTGTACTGATCGGCCAGGACGATTTCCATATCGTCCTGGACGATATAGTCGGAAAATTGCAATTAATGATCTCCTTTGAAGCTCTTCTATTTAAAAGCTCTTGTTCAACGTTGTTGAACATCTTTTGCTACTGCATTGACCTGAGAAGACCTTGAGGAGAGAAAGAGAGAGAGAGAGAAAGAGAGAGAGAGTGAGAGGATCTTGTGAGGGGGAGCTTGTGAGGGGATTCACAAGGGTTGTTTCAAGGATCGCTCTGCTTCTTCTTCATCTAGAGTTTCTCGTCCTTGGAAGGGTCGGTAGAGGTAAGGATTCAGCAACTGATAGTGATTCTCTGCCAGCTTCAGGAGGAAGCAAAAGGAGATAGGTTCTCTGCCTTGTCGGGGTGGAAAAAAGAGGTTCTTTGTAAAGGCTTCTCCGCCTAGCTGTGGGGCCTAAAGGAGAGTCACGATTGTAGTGCAATACTCGGAGGGCGCCTCCGGGAAGTGGACGTAGGTCGAGTTGACCGAACCACTATAAATTTCTGTGTTCTTATTTCTTGCTTCCGATCTTTAATTTCCGCCCTTATTTTTCTCGTGGTGTGGTTTTGGTTTATGTGATATTACTTCTTTGTGAAAAGAATTTTTAAAATACCAATTCACCCTCCCTCTTGGTTAGCTTGGGCCAGTTCTATAGGGCTTAACAACCCCAACAAACTTTCAATTTTGAGTTATGTTTCTTGCTCTCATTTTAACATGAATGGTTGCTTCATGTATTGGATGAGATCTATTTATTGGAATTGGAATCGGGTTTCCAATAATTTTATTATCATTTTTTGTGGCATTGTGGGTGTTGAGAATCCAGTGTTAGCTAGAGATAATGCTGTTTGGAAGGATGATTTAAATTCTTACTATTTTTTTGCTTGCCTTTTTGCGTATATTGGGTTTGATATTGAAGGTGCTAATGCGACCTATATTATCCATATTTCTACATTCATGAGAAATGCTTGCCTAACCAACTATTTACGTTTTTGGGTTAATAGTAATTGGGATTTTAATAGGTATGATGGTACCATTTTCTTATTTATCTTGTTTGTTGATTTGATGCTTAACATGGATCAGAGATTTATGGGGAGCAATTTTATGAACTTTTTGTTGCTACAAGAGATTCAGAACTATAATTACTCCATGTTGATTACATTGACTTCTTATTTGGTGACTGATTCAAAGCCTTTCACGGCTTTGGTTGGAGTCTATTTGGAGGTAAAGCTTATTGAGAACTATCCGATCACTGTTAAGCCTTTTGTTCTCCTCTAAGTTATGGTGTTCCAGGTCTTGGGTAAAACAATTATGAGTAATTTCTGGACTATTTATTTTGTACATTGAATTTGTTTTGTAGTACCTTGATGCCTTTTAATTATACTGTGGCTGAGGATTTTACTCTCCTGGTTGGGTTTGAAAATACTCTATCCTTTTTATATATTTTTGGAATAAATATCTATTTAAGTCAAATTAACCTTTTTTGGTTGAGTATTTTCTTTGTGCAGATCTGGTCGCTGGAAATTTGGCTACACTTCTTTTGCAGGGTTTTTGCAAGTTCTAAAATTTTGAGTTATTCGAAGTGTGATTAATCTTTTTTCAGGAAGATGGTGCTGAATGCCTTTGTTTTGATCTTCATTTCTTGGGTGCTGTCTTCTTGTAGCCCTAGAATGTATTTAGGTTCTTTTGTAATTCATAGTATAAGGAATCATCGGCTTTTAGGATTTATTTTTGTTTCTCTTGTAGCTCTTATGAGCATTAACGAGCTGGAGGTTCCTTCTAAGGATCTTGTAACCCCTTTTTTTGGTATTAACGCGTAGGCCACTCAGTAGGTTTTAATTAAAAAAAAAATTATAAAAATTGTGATGGACCCTTTTCAAAAAGAGAAGTTATCAAACTTAAAAATCTTGAAAGGATTTTACAAATTCTCACTTATTATGGTAGAAGGTCATCTCATATGATGTCATTTATTAATGATGGATCACAACCCTTAGTGGTATCGATTCTAGTTATGCTGGAAATGTTTAGGGCTTCACAAAGTGCGACATTCAACAAAAAAAAAAAATTTTCTATTTAGCATTAAGTATGATATATGATATATTTTAAGTCAACAATGATTCATTAGGACTTGAAATTAAATATGATGTATTTTGGCAAAAAAAAACTAAAATTGAAGACTAGTCTTAAAGAAATAGATGAAAAGACTCAAAATGGTCAATTTATGTTTGTTTCATTATGTAGTAATATGAAACCTTGTCCATGAAAATTCTACATTATTTTCACTAAAAGATAAGTCATCCAAGATGTTTCTATGAGTCATGCATGAGTTACTTGAAAAAAACCTTCAAACATTAAACCACACACCGAACAATATCTTCCCAATGAAAATGAATATTATTTATATTTGAATTTAAAAGCTTTAATGTAAACAATTTTGCTTTAATAATTTATTTGTTGTAGAACAAATACCATAATATTAAGCAACTGAAATTATGCAATTTTGTACATTGGTAGTATAAATATTATAAAAACTATATGTTAAATGCTTCATATTTTAGCAGACTATCATCACATCAATAATCTAGATAAAACGTGATAAATTTAAATTAATTATAATCAAATATATATATATATATATATATATATATATATATACATATATATATATGTATATATATATTATATATGTTATATATATATATATATTATATAATGTATATTATATATATATATATGTATAATATATATATATATCTATATGTATATATATATATATATGTATATATATATATATATGTATATATATATATATGTATATATATATAATATATGTATATATATATATATATAATTATTATAATATATAATATGTATATATATATATTGATTATAATATATATATATATATATATATATATAATTAGATATAATATTATTGCCTTACAAAATACATATATGGTTACCAAATCCTAATAGAAATACATAATCGTTTATCAATGTCAAATCTTTTACATTCCAGTGACAATGCATATTTAAAAATATTGAATTATTAGATTTGAATATATCAAGTGTAAACAAGCCTGTAAAGATTAATTAAATGTATTTTTTAGTTCTTGTAAACATTACCTCTAGAAGAACAGATTAAATTGGGGGAAAGGACTTTTGGTAAGGATAATGGGAACTCATAGGATAATTCCGTTCGAAAATTTTACCAAATAAGAATTGAAGGTGAGAATAAAAGTATAGAAGAGCTTTGGTGACAAGAGGGGTGGTTCAGAGGAAAAGATTGTGGATCATGTTGTAGAAGAGGTTTGTTTGGAGGCTAGTCACCAAATTCAATTGGAGGTTAAGTCACAGCAAGGTGTGGAGGCATGGTTGATAGGCCAGAAATTGGAAAATTAAAAATGGTGGGGTACTATCTTCAATTTAGAAACCTATTTAGGATGATTGTAAGCTTTTTAAAAATGAATTATTATGAGTTGTTTGCAGGAAAAATAAGTTAAATTATTTTAGTTGCTAGATGCAATTTTTCATCATTAACTTTTCTAAAAAAAGAATCCTTTTAAGAAAATAAGTTTAAAATAAAATTGCGAATTTGTTTCCTTAAAAACAAAGCATTCTGATGTTTTTTTTCTGAACAAAATATATTCCATAATCAAAGATGATTTATTATAACTCAGCTTTGCCATCACCGAACACCATTGCTAAATATTGACTTTGTAATCCAAATTAGATTTTCAAAATTGAAAATATATGCAAAAATAAGCAATTATTGCTAACAATGCATCAGTATGTAAAAATGTACAAAAACGATAAATTCCTTTGTATAAAGTATGTGGCTTCATAATTTGGGGTTTTAGCGGACTCCTCATAGAATGCTAAGAGGTCAACGCGGCAAATTCGATATATTTATACATTAATCTTTCAAAGAAATATTTCATTTAAATTTTTTTATGAGGGAATTTTTCATAAAAATTTATGCCCAATTTTGGAATCTAATATTGGGCATCCGTTCTTAAATAATCAATAAATACAAGGGCGTATATACAAGGGCGTTCAACTCTTATTAAATTTGTTATATAAGTGAGGCTTTTCAAATATATATAATATATATATATGAAAGGAGATGAGATTATCTGTTAATTGATTCCAGCCTTTGATGTAACTAAAAAATTTGTATTCAACAAACCATGATTTTGAATAAATTTTGAAATTTAATTTAAATCATTCAAAATACAAGAACTTCCATGATCAATTATTGACTGCCAATTATAAAAATATCACAATCCAATCTTTCTGAAAGAGTGAGAGAGAAAGAGAGAGTGGATCCCGTCGCGCTTATCGGGCTACGCGAAACCCTACCCCAACCACTCCATGGAAGCACCAGCAGCCGCAGCCTCGCTTCCTCGATCTCTCTAGGGTTCTCTCTGTTATGTTCTAGACTGATCAGGACCGTCGCGATACAATCGAACGGTCAACGTGGGCACTAGGTCGCCCGGGCCTGACGGCAGTAATTATGTATAAATGAGGGCTGGGTGGAAGAGGAGATGGTAAGAGATGTGTGAGGAATTGTGAGGCGAGTCTGAGGAGAGAGAAAGGGATAGAAGAGCATCACGTGGTGCGGAGAGCAGTTAGAGAGAGAGTAGGGGTTGTGCAATGCATGATGGGGTCGTGGTCATTTCTGGTAGAGAAGTTAGAGAGAGAGTTGGGGTAGGGACCGCAACCTGCACCTTTGTGTTGTCTTTTACTCTGTCTCTTTTTCTTTCTCTTCCTTATTTATTGCTCCTGCCTACGACTCTTCTGAGGCTGACCCACTACATTTACTCCTCGCTTTCTCTTTCCTCTTCATTTTTCTCTTTTTAATAGTGGGAGTTTGGTTGAGCTTTTACTCTCCTGTCCTTCTCTCTCTTTCTTTCTCTCTGTTCAGATTAATCATTTTGGTCATCATAACCTCTTCACCGCCTCTTTATCTCCACCCCAACCTGAGCCGCATCCCTGAGAGAGAATCCGGGTCTCATGGGCGAGAGAGAATGAGAGAAAAAAAAAGGGCTTTTGCTGCCGCTGCGTTTCAGTAAAGTGGAAGCTTTCTCTTTGAGGGGAATGTTGTCTGGCTCGAGGCCTCCGGCCGTATCTCTTTGTTTCTCTCTTTTCTTTTTCTATGGCCGGTTTCTAACAGAGCTTTCGATGAGGAGGTCTCGGACCAGGCTTCATTCCCCCCAATCACTGCTTCCCTCTCCACGTCAAAAGCTCTCATGCGGTCGGTGAGTTATTTCTCTTAAATTTCCGATCTTTGATTTTGATTTCTTTCCGTTTTTGGCTGGATCGTCCGATTGAGGTTCGATTTTTCTAGTCTTTTTTTCTCTGAATTTGTTTGTTCGGTAAGCTTTTTTTTTTGGAAGAGGGGAGGAGAGAGAAAAAGGAGGGCTGATTGCTGCAATGATATGGGGTTTGACCATGGATGGCTTTAGACTTTTTGTATTTCATTTTCTTTTTTTAATTTTTGCTTCTGTTGATTTTTGTTTTATTTCTCTGCCTTCCTGTCGGCAAGGATAAAGTATTCATCATTGTCTAGTAAAAGTTTCTCTCTGATTGCTTCACTTTTTGACCTTTTGCATGATTTCTTCATTTTTTTTTCTTTCTTTCTATTTATTGCTAAGCTTTGAGCATCGCACGATTTTCTAATTTTAACCGAATTCTGAAGGCCGCGTTCTCTCCATTCTTTCCCAGAATCTTCTATCAGTTTTCTTCATCTTCTTTCTTTATTTCATCTACCTTCCTAGTCACCCTCCTTCATTTTTAAGATTCTTTATAATTTATTTTATTTATTTGGCTTAGCAAAAAAATTATGAAGTTGGCTACAGGTTCCGATCGATCAAGATTATTCATGTGTTGCAAACTTTGATCTTTAGTTTATTTCTTATCTTGTTATTTATTTATGCATTTGTTTTTCTTTACTACCGAGGGATGAAAGAAAGATAAGAGATCTGATGCCCCAAATTCGAATAACGCCTCGTTATATAGCATACAGGTAATGCATTGATCAGCATGCCCACAGATCATAGAAAGGTGAGCGAATATTCTGACAATTTCTTTTGCTTGGAAGGAAATCTCTTCCTTCTTTCATCTTCTAAGCTACTGCCTCTTTTGGTAATGAATACACTTAAAAGACAAAATCAATTGGTAATCACTAGAAATTTTGTTTTTGTATTTGATCGCATGTTTTTAAAAACTTATTCAAGATTTATTTTGTTTGGACAGGATAAGAAGTGTAAAAAAATAATTCATCTATTAGTTACTTGAAGGGTTTGATATGCTGTGGGTCTAGACTTTCATATTTCATTAAAATTAACAGGCTTTCACATCAGCGCTAATTTTTTATTAATTTGCTAGCAATGTTTAAATAAACGAAGTCTCTTATCTTAATGAGATTCTTAGTTAAAAAAACAAAAAAAATTTAAGTGCACATCTCAAGAGATGCTCCTGCCAGACTTTTTAATCTGGTGTACCAGTTCTACTGCAATTTTTAATCAGTGACAGAAAAAACAAGTCAACTGAGAGCCTTTCACGGGAGGAAAGTATTATACTGTGGTACCTCACAACTATTTTTTTGTGATTCTCACTCAATTATTTATTTTATTTTATGTTATCATAATTAATATCTATGCAAATAACATAGATGATAATTACAATTACAATCAAAAAAAAAATTTTACTAGCCTTTCATGACCGACATAAGATCAGCAACTAACATATATAAAAAGTATATACTAAACCTAATGTGTTGAGATAGGCTATTATTCCATTAATTATGTGTTAAACAATGAGAAAAACATTGTTTAGTTTCATTTCCGATGCCCTCCTTAATTTCTTTTGCATTCCCCATATAAGTTTCAATTTTAAAGCTGCAATGTGCCATTACCTTGAGCACAACCTTTTTTTCGTTATAATGACTGTCGAAGTAAGTGCATCTTTCGGCCTTATCAATTTCCAATGGAAGATGCTCCAACTGCGTTACTTTTATGTTTGACCACCATAAAAACTGACCTCTCTTTCTCCCTCTCTCTCTCTCTCTCTAGCAGCACAGATTCTGTTTTCAGTTCTTTCCTGCGCTTAAACTTTCTTTCCGTCTTCTTATCTGTATGAATGCATCGTCAGGCATTAATGGTTTGAAAATTACTGAGAAAAAACATGGGAAGCCATATTCAACATTTATCGCCAAAAAAAATTTATGTTAAAAAAAGTGAGAAGTTTTATAAGTGCCATTTTACAACAGTTAGATTGGCGAAACGATCACTTAAATCGTGTGAGTATTTAAAGAGAGTTCTTTTATTAGCATCCTATAGCAATTAAACAATTAAACCTGCTACTTATAAAGATTTGATACTCTCCTCTCTCACACATTCTGAAAGCTTGGAGAAAAGACAGGCATTGGTGATAGAAAACCATCATAGATAGATTCAGAAACACGTGTGATGATGGCTTTTGCTTGCGTGAGTAGGCATAATTGTCACCGCGAGGCTCAGAGAAAGAAAGATAGCGAGAAAGTGAGCTGTACGGATTTTAGGGGTTAGGGTTTTCATGTTACTTGCAAAATGGCTTTAGATTTTTGGCTCTAGATGTTATTCGGGTTCGTTCTTATATCGCGTAGTTTATGTTTTACATGTTCTTATTATTTTTTTATCAGTAATATGTATTTCAAGTGGCGAGAAGGGCGAAAATTTTAATGGAAAGGAAGATGATTGAGCTAATTATTAAGAAAGACTCAGCTTTAACTTGCCAAGAATGCTTGCTTTAAAATGGAAAACTCAACATCAGCTGTTATGCGTCGAAATCCGTTTTATAGTTTTGTTATTGTTTTTTGTGGGGGATATGATCCTAATCCTCTTGATCGATAGTCAACGATTCAACCAACAGATTAAGACGACCTGCATAATTTTGTTCTTAATCTTCCTATGTTTGGCATTTGAGATATTTGCCAATGAAGGCACATTACTCTTTCAGGGATTGAGAAAATATAGCAATTATATAGCCGTTAAATCTAATATATTTTTTTTGGAATGTAAAGTATGGAAATATAAAGTTAATATAATTGAGATTTGATTTAAGATCTTGAAAATAAGTTCAAAGATCTTAATTTACTAAATTTGTTAATACACATTTAAGTTTTAAATATTGTATTCTAATAAAAAAGATTCGAAAATCTTAAATAATGATTAGCAATTTCTTTTATCTTATTTTGTGAAAAGTGTTGCCGAAATTTCATGGGGTTACATTAGGGTTGAGAGTACTTTAGAAATATAAAATTTAATTTGAAAATTTTGGAAAAAAATTCTTGTGGATTATTTGATAATTTTACATATATAACACACTGATTGTAAAGGATGCTCATCGTCATAATTGATGTTAACATAATATAATAGTTTCAATTGCGAGAGAAATTGATCTTTTAATAAGCTTCAAGCAGTTGATTGAGTTTTCATTGAGTGAAAAGTGTTAGATGAGAATTAATGACCAACATTTAAACTCCAATGATGATGGACGATTTGCTTGGAAATTCTTTTGAAAATAGAATTGATTGAGAGAATAAGAGGATGGTCACAAAACATCTATGTCTAACTAGAGTTCTTTGCTAGGTGAAATTATTAGTAGTGTATAATGTATCTCTGTGTAGAAACATGATTACATAGATGAGAACCTATTATGCATTGAGTTTGTTGTTATGCAATATCTTCTTTCATAAAAAAACACATCACATGGCTAGTACATTGTTGTGTACTCCAATACTCCATTAACTTTTAATTATAATTAAAAAAAAACTCCATTCATAGCTCACCCCATATCTTATCTATACCTAATAATTTCTTTAATAAGTGGCATGCATTTATAGACGGTCGAAAAGTATTTTAATTATTGATCTCCTTATAGGAGGTTGGATTTGTGATTGAGAAAAAGTGCGTTGGGCCTATAGTGTTCATACCCTAATTGTTAGATATATGATATCAATCTTTATCAGGTGTTAGGTTATGATACAATAATGTTCGATGGTCAAGTGAAGCTAAATAATTTACTTAATCATTCTATTAAAATATGGGTTGGCAATATGGTTGAGATAATATACATTTGATGTTGGAGACTAATGACATTAAGGATCGATTTAGGCTAACATTTGACAATGATCAATGAGTAGTGTTAAGATTTTATTGATAATAAATAAATAACACTGTAAATCACCTCAAATAATGAGTGTGTTGCTACTATAACTACATCATTTGACTATAATAATGCATTAGAAAAAGCCTAAAATGCTAGAAAAAGAATGACAGATACTATGAATCTATATTGGTGTTAAAGGTCTCAATAAGAACACTAGTGGATTAAATACTTCTTGATTAAGGAAGTGAAAGCATAGTAAAAGACTAACTAGCTACATATATGCAATTCAATTGATTTAGTATTTGGTGAGAACATGATAGAATATATTATATCATCGGCTCCTCCTCCTCGCGTGTTTGCCCTAGCGCCGCTCTGGCAATTTAGGGTTTCCTCCGCGCGATCGAGTTTTCTCCTTTTCGCTTCATTTTTCTTCATGGTGCTCGTGAGATAGGAGTGTTATGGTGACTTTTTCTACGAATCTGCTCTTTCTGGGCTTTCTTTTCATGGCGGAAGTTCCCTCCTCTGCTTCGTGGGGGAAATTTTCCGAGCATGTGCTGCATAACAACAAAGGTTCCTTTAACCTTGACGGTGATGGTTCCAAATAGCCTTCTAGATCTCGGTCCTTCAAAGAGGTACTCTCCGGTAAATCTGTTGCAGGTGATGATCGTCCATCTCTTACTCAATCCACTTTCAATGGTGTTCCTGCGATTTTATTATCTGATGATGAGGTTTTAAAGCTTGCTTCTCCTTATAAATTCACGCTTATTGGTAAATTTGGTTTGCGATGATCGAATCTGGATGTTATTCGACAATTGTTTCATCTTTGAAACTTTCTGGTTTTTACTCAGTTGGTTTACTGGATTCAAGGCATATGCATGGCTATCCAACTTTTGAGTGATCTTGACCATAGTCGTGTGTTTGCTAGACAGCCGTATTTTTTTTTTAATTGCCAAATAAGAATTTTTAAATGGACTCCTTTTTTTGATATTAAGGAGTCTCCGATTGTGCCGATCTGGATATATTTCCATAACCTCCGTCTTCATTTTTTTAATCTAAAAGTTCTGTATGTGTTGGGTTTGATATTTGGTCGACCTCTTCAGATCGATCAGGCTACCGCTTCTCGTACAAGACCTTCGGTAGCCAGAGTTCTTATCAAGGTTGACATTTCAAAAAAACACCAAAAAGAAATTTGGGTCGGTTTCAAAGCTTTTGTATATCTTCAAAAAGCCGAATTTGAAAAGGTTCCTAATTTCTGCTCTCACTGTAAGATTCATAGCCATGCTCAATCTGACTGTTTCAAACTTCATCCTGAACTTAAAACTTCTAATGTTATGAAAAATGAGAAGCCAGGATCCACCAAAAAATAGATTTATGTGTCTGTGGCTGGAAAATTTTTTGAGACCCAAGATAACAAGGTGGAACCGCCTCCTATTTCTCATAACTTAGAAGATATTTTGCAAAAATTGGTTGATGGTAATCTAGAAAATGAAATGTTTTTAGTTGATGATTGTCAAGAAAATAGTGTTGAAGTGGTTAATGTTGAGAATATCAATACTTTTAATGATGTTAACAAGGAAACCAAAGAAGACCCTACTTTGTTTGTTTCTATTGAATCTATGTTTAAGGAGATGGAACATAATGTTGAGTTTGAACATTGTGTGGATTCTAATTCTGAGGAAATAAGTGTTAAGGAGAATGCTAATGTGACGAATAACATGGTTACACACGAAGAACGTGAAGAAGGTGAATTTATTCCTCAATGAGTATGCAATGACCATAATAAGACTACTTAGATTATCTACTCGGGGGATAATCATGATAAAGAGGTTACTAAATTGGCTAAAGAGGATGAATTCAGACTGGTGAACAGAAAGAAAGGTAAGCAACCAAAAAATGTTTCTTTTACCACCCCTAGATCCACCCGAGCTCAAGCATCTTCAAAAGAATCTAATGATTGAAGCTCTTATTTGGAATGTTCGAGGAATTGGGGGTAAAGACTCTAAGATTAGAGTAAAAAATCTTTGTAGAGTTCATAATATTTATTTACTTGTTTTAATTGAGCCTCTTATTGCTAATGTGTAAATTGAATCGACTGTTAAAACCTTGGGTTTCTCTAATTTCTACTCTAACCGTTCTAATAAAGTCTGGATTATGTGGCATAACTCTATTTCGTTAAACATTGTTGATGATTTCCCGCAAGTTGTGCACTATTCTGTTAGTCTTTTTAATGTTACTTGTTATACTTCTTTTGTGTATGAATCTTGCACTAGAATTAACCGCATGGCCCTTTGGGATCAGTTAAATAGTTTTGCTTCACATATTAAGTGCCCTTGCTGTGTGGGAGGTTATTTTAATATCATCTCTAATGTTTCTAAAAGAGTGGGTGGTAATCCTCCAAATACTAATGCGATGGATGATTTTAATACTATGATAAATGATTGCAATTTAAATGATATTGGTTATTTTGGAAGCCCTTTCACTTGGAATAGAGCTAATCTGTGGCAAAGAATTGATAGGTGTCTTTTCAATAATGAGTGGATTGCTGACTTTGCTATGACTAATGTTGAACATCTTAGTAGAACTCTTTCCGATCATTCTTCTATTCTCTGATGAGAATTAACAAAATCAATATTTCTTGTTCTTATGCTTTTAGATTTCAGAATATGTGGATGCATCATAATGATTTTAAGAATGTTATCACTATTAATTGGACTGCTTCTGTTTTCCCGGATAATAACATTAATGGCATGTTGAGACTTTGGTCTAAGCTTAGTAGACTTAAACAATATTTGAGATAGTGGAACAATAATGTTTTTTTAAAAAAATATTCTAATATTAAAGAGGCTGAGATGAAAGTTTCTGATCTTAATAACGTCTATTTGAATAATCCGGATTCTGATAATCTCTCCTGCCTTAATTAAGCCAAGGAAAATCTTTTCCAATTACAATTGCAGGAAGAATCTTTTTGGAAACAAAAGTCCAATGCCAAATTTGTTATTGAAGGTGATAGGAACAATAAATTTTTCTATATCTTAGCTAATATGAAGAGAACCAAGAGTCATATCCATAAAATTGTGGGTGATGATGGTATTTCTATTGAGTCTGATGATGCTATTTGTAATTCTGGTATTGAGCATTTCATTAGTATTTTTAATAATCATTGTTATTATGTTCCTATTACCAACCGGAATCTCATTCCTAAAATTGTTAATAATTTTGACAACACCTTACTTTGTCAAATTCCTACTCATGAAGAGATTTTCAAGGTGGTTAATGACCTAAATGGGGATGCGGTTGCTGGTCCTGATGGGTTCACCACCAAATTTTTTCAGCAAAACTGGTACACTATTAAAGAGGATATTATTGAAGCTGTGAAGGATTTCTTTAAGGGTAACTCTTATCCTAAAATTTTCAAGTCCATTAATATTGTTCTTATTCCAAAAAAAAATAACCCTATTAATTGGAATGATTTTAGACCGATCAGTCTTTGCACTTTTCTTAAATAGTTTAATTCTAAAATTATTGCTAATAGGTTGATTAAAATTCTTCCCAATATTATTTCTTTAAATCAGACGGGTTTTGTTAAGGGAAGAAGTATTTTTTATA